TTTTTTTTTTTGTTGCAGCAACTGTTTTTTTCCCTTACAATAGGGTGGGTTATACGAGGAATTTCTCTCGTCTATTTATCTGTGTGTGATATTTATAGGGGTTGTTTACTATAAAGAAAGCAAAAAAAAAAAGAAGAGGAAGCTCGACGATACAACACACACCGCATTTTATACTTGTACAATTTCTTTTCCTTTTTGCATGCATACTTATGATGATGCTGAGTTATCTCTGTGAAATCGAGAACGACAGATTTTGATTTCTTTCTTCTTTTTCAGCTTATCATTCCACTAGCACATACACCCACACTCCTATTCAATGTTTCGTTCTATTTACCGACATATCAAAGCTCGAAACATATTTTGGTGTTGAATAAATAAAACTTGAATTCATTGAAAGAATTTAAATGTCAGGTTTTGAAGGGTTGTGCACACCTTTTTTAGTTTTTTAAAAGTCATTTTTTAATTACAATTCCGTCTGTCTAAATTACCATAATTATAAGAAGATAAAAATCAAAAGCACGCCACTGCATGAAGCTTTTATACAAGCAATCATTTAATCAAGGTTTTCTTTGAGTGGTTGGGTTTCTGAACATGTGAATGCTTTCAAATAAGAAAATGAATTGCTTGATTGCTTATAATTATAGGCTATTCGAATAATAAAGCCAACAATGTATTTGCAACTCTTCATTACAAGTCTTTAGAAGTTGAAAAATGAACGATTTTTTATGAAATAAACTGCAATGAAATGCAATGCATGTCCACGGGGTATTAATTAATGATGATGGAAGTTCGCTTCGGAATCGAGGAATAACAAAATGTTTCCAAAGAATCAATTGGCATGATTTTTTAAGTATAGACTTTAGTGGGAAATTTTGCTAAGTTCGCTTTCAGGCGTTACCTTTATAAATGTAAGTCCAAAGCTGATATTTAAATGTAAACATTTAATATTTTTATGTCATTAACCCCTGAAATCAGGTAAAAATATTAATAAATTTAATGGACTTTAATTTATGTGAAAAATATATTTCCGAAAGAAACTTAAACATTTATTGCAATGGAAGTGTCAAATTACCTGACCAAACTGAATGTTTTTAATGTCACTAAAATTTAAAGGTATCTAAGTTGAAAACTGTGAGAAGTTGCAATACTTGAAGTACTTTAAGATTCATTCACTCTCATTACAAACCCAAACATCCCTTAAATTCAATTCTACTTGCGAAATTCTTGTTATCAAGCAAGACATGAAAATGTTCTGATGTTGACGTACCCACAGTGATTTAGATTAAAAGATATTATTTAAAAATGTATCGAAATGTTATTTTCAAACCGTTTTTATGAACCATGAGACTTCATTACTTCGAGGCATTATTCATTTAATTATGTATCCTAATATCAACATTTTCTGATCATTTCTCTTCTCTCAGCGCGTTTCTTGTTGACACCCCTCAATATACTTCGAGATAACGCCAAACGTTGGTGTTTTTAAACGAAGTGTCTTACTTCAAAATCGTTGCTGCAACAAATATAATCATTAGAGCTCGATGGCTTCGAGACCGTCAACCATGAGCGTGTCAAAATATATTTATGACTTCTGATGTGATTTTTTTTTGTATTTTCTTGTTTTTTTTTATTTTCCGTTCTTCATTAAATGTAAAACATAAAAACGAAGTAATATTTAATATTATAGAAAAAAATGATGTACATTTTATCATCTTAAAAATAAATGCTTTGCTTCGAGAGTTTTTTTTTTACTCTTCATTGATTTTAAACATTGAGCAGTCTTATTTTTCTAATCATAAAAAAGTCAGCGGGCGGTGAGTGGCATTCAATTTCTTGATTAAGTCACCGCCTTAAAAGGAGAAATATAAAGATCATGAACATTTTTCTTCCATCATTAAACATTGAAAATTTCTGTGTGCTTAATGAAATCATCATCTTATCACAAATCTTTACAAATGTTTCAAGTCGCTTGAAATTATCATAAAAGAAAAGTTCTTTTCATAAAACTTTTTCTCCCATCATCTTCAAAGATGAGAAGTGATTCCAATTACACAATTTGCCGTGGAGCAATAAAAAAGTATATTCAACAGATTTCCAACAGAAGAGTAATTAATTATATTTTCGAAGCAAATGAATACTATTGCGGAAGGCTAATGATTTCCCATCGAACACTTAAACGTGCCGTGCCGATTTTAAGGGAAAGAACGAAAACTTTCCTTTCCGTCCGATTTCAAGATGTTATGGAAACATAATTTTTTACTCCTCTCCATCGGGCATTCATTAAAATTAACTATCAAATAATGTTTCTCACATTTTCTTCCATAAAATCTTAAGTATTTTAAGAAGCGAAAAGATTTGTACATATGTTGCGTCAAGGTATTAAATTAAATTAGGGGAAAACTTGTTCAAACCTGCTCAAACTTTCTTCATTCTAAATGATAATATTAAACTTTCCAATCGTCATTTTATTGCTGATAATTAAAATGTTTGTCGGAAGTTTTCAGAACTTACGCCTGGCCCATGAAGCTCCAATCAACCGTTGAAACAGATGGCGATGGTCTTGAGTTCCATTGCTCAAATCATCATCATACGAAGGTAGATTCATAAAATTTTACTTTTTTCATCGACGATGGATTGGTGATCATACAGCACAGCTGAGTTTACGAAAATTTATCTTTAATTACACAATTCAGCTTTCAAGTCTTTTTATAAAAATATTAACTTTTTCGATGTATGCAATGCCAAAGCTCTTGTTGAATTTTGGTATTTGTTCTCAGCTGGTAATATTTATTGCTAGGTAGCTTCATTAATAAAGAAAAATTATGCAGTTAATCCAGTTTCTGTTGGCTGAAATGAAAATTATTTTATCACGACATAAATCCTGTAAAAAAGTTTCATCAAAAAATTTTCTACTGTGGGTAAAAATTTTCTTAGGAAAATATAAAAAACGAAAAATCGAATTTAAATCGAAGTAAAAGTAATTAAAATTTCATTTTCAGCTTTATTTCTGTAATTAAAGTGATCAAATGTTTGACCAAATATGTAAGTAATAAATCAGATTCATTTTAGTTTTATTTTTTCCTCAGACTTACAAATTATTAGTTGATAGTTTAAGGTTTATTTAGTTATAATTTCTTTATTAAACGATAAAAATCTCAAAAACTGTTCTCAAAATTCTAAATCATGCGGTAGGAATCGATATTTCTTCAATGTTTTTTGATTTCTTTTCTGGATTTTTAAAAATATCTTTCAGATACTCCCATATTATTTTATTTGGATTTTTTCTTATCTACATGGTGCGATGTGAAAAAGAGAATCTTAATACCGCATATAGCGACAACGGTATGTTTGATGTAATCTACGAAGAAAATGTTAATCGAATACTCAAAACTGATTATCCTAATCAAGAATCCATAGTCGAATGTATGATAACAGAACTAAAAAAACAGCAAGCTATTAAACATGCTTACGCAGATGATTTACTAAGTAAATTTAATATAACAAATTTGAAAGATAAAATAGAACCATATGTAGTTGATGCTGAAAAGGTCTGCAAACAGAAAAACTTTGGATTAATTTTCCATTCTTCAATTTCATTAATCATTCTATGCGCAATTGCTGCATTTATCAGATCTTAAATAAGATCTATAAACAAAATTAATCTGCATTAAAATTACCTCAATAAATCGATAGTATTGATAGTAGTAGTGTACAATTTAACATACTTTTATGATCTTAAAAAGACCTGTAAATCTGTATTTACATGAAAAAAAAACACGATTATCTTATTTACAAACCAAAGCAAGGAAAATCCAATGCGATTACCCAACACAAATAAAAAAAATATTTTAAGAAAAAAAATTAACGACGAATTTTTCAAATTATGTCCCATTTTCAGATTTGTTCTTTCAATAAAAGTGACCGAAAA